CTTTCAGCTCTCTCCTCTGGGGATGTAGAGGGGGGTGTCCTGCAGTTTAGAAAGAGGAGAGTCCTGCTTTGAAGGCGCCTCCAGTCTGGGTGGGGAACAGAGGAGATTGAAATGTGAGCAGGGCACCAGAGGAGTAGTACAGCAGGTAGGGCATTTGCCTTGCACGCGGCTGACCCAGATTCAATCCCTGGCATCCCCTATGGTCCCCTGAGCCCCGCCAGGAGTGATCCCTGAGCACAGAGCCAGGATTCTGCTGGGTGTGGCCTCAAATATAAAGAAATAAATATGAGGTGGGTGGGGCGTGGGTGTAGAGAGAGGGTAGGGTGCTTGCATTGCATGCAGCTGACCCAGGTTCAATGCCCCTTCTGGTCTCCCAAGCCCAGCAAGTGATCCCTGAGCACAGAGCCAGGCCTGGTAAGCCCTGAGCACAGCTGGGTGTGTCCCTAAAACCAAAATTTAAAAATGAATAAACGTGAATTGGGCTGCACCCAAGTGCTCTAGTTCCCGCCTGCCTCCCACATCCGACCCCCGTCCCTCTGACTACTGCTGATAACAGCTGTGTATAACTGCCCTAGGCAGAGGGACAGGGGCCAGGTTGGCCGGCAGCCCAGAGGGTGGGGTGGGGTGGGCGATGATGAGAGCACCAGGCTCCTCTTGGCTCCCTGCCCCTCTGGAGTGATCTGGAACTCGGCGCTCCACACTTTCTCCCCCTCTACACTCCACCCCTGGACTCCAGAAGAATCCAGGTTCAGCTGCAAGAGGCTTGGTTAGAGTCAGGGTATGCATGTGCTCATGTACACACGCAAACACACACACACATACACACATACATGCACACACACACACACACACACATGCACGCAAACACACACACATACACACTCTACTGCTCCATTGCCCTATGGCCATGTGATTCTGGTCAGGTTCTTAACCCTCTCTGACCCTCACACAAACCTGAAAGGGCTGGAGCAAATGTCTCACCCAAACTGAACGAGTGTTTTGAATGCAGGAGAGCCAGGTTCCAACCCAGGCACTATGTGGTGCCCCACACATGGCCAGGGGTGACCCCTGAGCACTGCCTCGTGTGGTCCAATACCCCTTCCTATTAAAAAACAAAAAGGTTTATCTTGGGTCAGAGCGATAGTACAGCAGGTAGGGTATTTGCCTTGCAAGCAGCAGACCCAGGTTCAATCCCCGGCATCCCATACAGTCTCCTGAGCATCAGCGGGAGAAATTCCTGAGTGCAGAGAGAGCCAGGAGCAACCCCTGAGCGTTGCCAGGTGTGGACCCACTCTCCTCCCCCAAATAAAGTTTATCTTGTCCTGTCCCCTCAAGGATCTGAAGTGTAAGAGGGAAGTGGGTTTGGAACAAGGGACCCCCTTATTTCTCAGAGCAATGGAGCCGCGCCCTCCTCCCCGCTCACTGGGCAGGGACTGGGGGACAGGCTGGCTCTCCTAGGGAGGAGGAGGTGACTCACGTGCCCCAGGCCTTCCCTCCCCTTTATCGCTCACCCGGACTAATCTGTGACTCACGGCGATTCCTGGCTGTTGGAGGTGGGGGTTACAGGTACATTTCTTGATGGGGTGGGGCTCAAACTCGCAAGGATCTGACATCATAGGTCAGGAACAGAGCAGCCCTGGACGTCGCGAAACATACCCCATAGCAAGACCCCTAAGGTTTGGGGTCTTGCTCTTTCTTCCCCAAAGTGAGGAGCGGGGGACTGGGGAGATGAGAAGAGTTGGGGAGGAACTTGCCTTGCGTGTGGCTCAGCCCGGTTCAATAGTGACATTGCATTGGATTCCCTGAGTCCCGTCAGGAGTGCTCTCAGAGCACAGAGCCAGGAGTAAGCCCTGAGAACCCCTCCCAGGTGGGACCCCAAAATTACAACAAAAGGAGCTGGCTGGTTCAAGTCTCAGGGCTGCATCATGGTTCTTAGGGCACTGTCAGGAGGGACTCCAGCAGTAGCCCCAAAACTGAAAAAAAAAATGTGAGGAGCTGAGCGCAGTAAAATAAGGGTCATTAGATAAAAGGATTCTGGTTTAAAAGGCCAGAGATAGTACAGCAGTCAGGACACTTGTCTTGCTCCCAGCTGACTCAGGTTCAATCCCTGGCATCCCATATAGTTCCCTGAGCCCCACCAGGAGTGATTCCTGAGTGCAGAGCCAGGGGCATCTCTAGGTATGGCTTCTCCCACCAAAAGCAAAAAGATTCTGGTTTAGAGGGGGATCAGCTTCTTCCCTGCAAGCAGGACCCTTCAAGAATCCACTGACTGTAGCTGGCTGAGAGCCTAGGACGGTGGCTCTGGGCATAGAGCTGCTCCAGGAAGGTGTCATTTAGAGCCACAGGAAGATGTTCTAGGAGCCCAAGTTCAGGCTTTGCATTCACGAGCCTCCTCTGGAACCCATGGGTCCCCAAACAATGCTGGGAGTGACCCACCTGAGCACCGACCGATGGAGCACTGTCAGGTGTGGCCCCAAAGCCCAAAGTAAATAAAGGTACAGGAAGGCAAGGTCAGGTGGTGGTTCACAGGGCTGAGGCAGGCTGTGCGTGTGGGGTTCTGGGTTTCATCCCTGGCCCCACGTGGTCCTCTGTGCACTACCAAGAATAGTGCTGGGAGTGCCTCTCCCCCGCTGAGCACAGCAAAAAAATAATCAAATCAAACAGACAGAAAAAAAAAGGATAAGCGATAAGCGAGTGCCTGATTTGCATGCTGGGTGCTCAGTTCGGCGACAGCACCCAGAGGCAGCCCCGAACCCCGCCCTGGGTATAGGCCCCAAAACTATTAGGAAGGTTCCTCTCTTTGACCTAGAAGCCTTTTTCTCCTATTTGCTCTTCGAGACTAGCAGAATTCCTTTTTCTTTTTTCCTTTGTCCATGCAGGATGATGGGACGGGGAGGCACACCCAGCTGTGCTCCGGACGTTCTCCAGCTCCGCTCAGGCGTCATTCCTGGTGTGCTTGGACAGGGTGCCTAGGAGCCAACCCAGGCGAGCCACTTGCCAGGCAGGCAACCTCGCTTCCTGTGCTATCTCCTGGACTCCGCACAACTTGCCTCTTAACTCAGCGCTCAAGGTCAAAACCGGGACAGGGACTTGTGTAAACAGATGTCTGCAGGCCTCCACCCTCACCCCGGCCCCTCCTTGCCCACCTGATAGCTGGTGCGGACATCCCTAGGGGTCCCTGCGCCCGCTGGCTCGCCAGGAAGGGCCCCTCGAGGCTGCTCTCCTTGCCTCTCCTCCGCTGAGGCCCCACATCCTCAGCCCGGCTTCCCCAGTGTCATCTCAGGCCAAACCTGCCTCCTTCCGGGAGAAAAACCTTCCATTAACCACTTCCATCAAGAGTGGTGACATGAGGGTCTGAAACAGGAGCCCGAGCTCGCCCCACCCCACCCCACCCCACCCCACCCCTCAGAGAGGACGCAGGGAATGCGGGAAAGGAGTCTTGCCTATGCTCACATCTCAGGCACTGGAGACGGCCATTATCACACCTATGACGACTTACTCCTCCGAGGTGCTTGGGGAACTATGCAGTGCTGGGGACTGAACCCAGGCTCCTCAGAGCCCATGAAGCCACTTCCTGTGTCCCGGTGAGAGGCAGGAGGCTGCCAGGCAGGGGGAAGCACCTGCCTTGTGGAGCACGTGGGGAGGGACAGGGCTGGCCAAAGCACCTCTGGGAGCCACTGGCAGTCCAGTCTCTGGAGCAAGGTCCTGAACCCACCACACACAACCTTTGGAAGTGGACAGGTGACTGAGTGACCGGGTGGGAGCCCCAGGGGTTTTGTCTGATGTGGGTGGCGCCCCCCTTCCCCTCCTCCGTCATTGCTGTAGCTGCTGCGACCAAGAGTCTCTCTCTCTCTCTCTCACACACACACACAGAGTTGGCTTGAGTTTCTACCGCAGCATTTCCTGGGGGCTGCACCCACCAGTCGCTCACACACAGCTGGACGAGATGGGCTGTGGGCATCCCAAAGCAGTGGAACTGCCGGAACCACTTGAGGCTGCTTATGGGCGGTACCAGGTATAGATCTTGTAGCCTCATGCTAGTAAGGTCGGTGCTTTGTGATTCACTGAGACATTACCCAGGGCCCTGCAACAAGATGGTTTGAAACCCACCCTGGGGAGACAGCAGAGAGGTTAAGGCACTTGCCTTGGCGGGTGGCCAACCCCAATCTAATCCCTGGCACCGTGCATGGTCCCCTGAGCACCAGGCATCACTCCTGAATACAGAACCATGAATAAACGCAAGCATTGCCAGGTGTGGCCCAACCCCCACCCCCACCCCACCCCCCCAAAAAAAGAAAGGAACAGAAGAAAAGGCTAACAAGTTGGGACAGAGGTAGAGGCAGCGCCCCTCCGGTGGTTCATCGCCTTGAGGACACGGCCCAAGTCGGGCATCAAAGTCCCTCCACAAACGGGCCGGGGCTCTGCTGAACCTGTTTCTTCCTTCGGAAAATGAGGATAATTAAATGTGCTTACTTCAGAGCCTGGGATCACTGTTGATCAGATGCTCATACATAAGATATGTAAACGTGGTTAGTGTTGTTTTTTTCTTTTGGGGCCTCACCCAGCGGACCTCGGGGACCATGCAATGCTGGGGACGCCACCTGGGACCTCCACGTGCAAAGCCACGCGCCTGGGCCATTTCCCCAAACCAAGGCACGTCAGTCACAGTGCCCTGCCTCTGTGGGTGCTCAGAAAAGCAGCGCCGTCGGGGTCCCGCCTGGACTCTCTCGCGCAGTCCCACTGACGCAGGACAGAGCACGAAGGATGAGCCCTTTTCAGCGCGGCTGCACCTGATCTGTGGGGTTGGGGACCTGCCAAGGCTCTTTACCCTTCTGCACACGCCCCCCCCCCCCCCCCAGCGAAGCACGGTTCTAAGTCCCAGGAAATCTCCATTCCAACGTGTTCCTGCCCCCAACGTACCCACACCGCGGAGACAGACTGTTCAGACCCTGTGGGAAATAAGGCAGAGCAGCCAGACTCGGAGGAAGCCGAGGGACTTCATTGGGAATCAGCGGGAGACACTTGGGGCGTCCACGCGGCTGTGAGTGAGCGCAGAGGGCAGGCAGCCGGGCAAGCACACCAGGGTTTCAGGAGGGGAAGAGCCTCAGGCCGGGGGCGAGGGCAGGTCTAAGGAGGAGGCACCATTAGAGCTGAGTCTGGGAAAACAGCCCGGATTAGGGGAGACGCAGAAGGGAGAGGCTGCCGGAAGGGGGTGTGGGCTGGGCCAGGAGGGCCTGTGTCCTCCCCTGCCTCCGGGGCACTGGGCGCCCGCTTACCTCTGCACCCGCATCGTGGGCAGGAGGCCACAGGCGGCCTCGCAGAGCCAGGGCTCTCGGACACAGAGGGGCTGCCCACCTGTCTCCCCTCGGCCCTTTTCCTGACCCCCTGTGCTTTTGCACATGCCAGCCTTGGCCCCGAGAGTCCACAAAGGCAAGTCCTGTGCCCCTTCCTCCCCACAGGGCTCCTTGACCCTGCTGTCAGCAGGGACAATGAGGCCTGGAGCAAGTGCCCACTGGTCACGGGCCCCACGGGCAGGCCTGCCACAGGGTCTCATGGAGACAGAGCCACCCGGCCACCCGCCATGTGGGCACACACCCCGCTCCTGAACGCAGGGAGGTGGACACAGAAGACAGAGCCCCTCCTGGGTCTGAAGAATGGACGGACGAACGGACAGAGGAGAGCCTGGCCTCGGGACCAGCTCCTACAGGGTGCAGTTGGGGCCGCTGGGGGTCTGGCCCCGCTGGGAGGGTTCCTGCGCCTGAGTGGAGATAGCCACCCCCATGGCTAGCCAACTCCAGGGTGGGCTGGGAGGGCGGGCTTGGATCCCGTGGCCTGTCCTTATCAGTTTGTTTCCGGGGCTGAGGCGGTCACACTGTCCACCGTTCACTCCGGGCCTCCACAGCCTGCACCAGCCCTTCGCCCAGGACGGCAAAGTCCTCCAGGATGGCTTCCACGTTGGGCACCAGCACCAGTTCCTCGCCGCGGTGCTCTGCCATGCGCCCCTTTGTGCTGGATGCCTGTGGGCACAAGCCGCAGCTGACCACCACACACCCACGGGGACAGCCACGGAAGGCCAGCATGCTCCATGCCCAGGACCCTGCAATCAATCTGCCCCCTACACACACACATGTGCACATGCACACACACTGCACGCACACGCATACACACAAACACACACAAAGGCACGAGCTGTACCTTGAAGGGCTGGGGTTGGAAGCCAGCAGGCTTCCAGAGGACACCGATCACTGTCCCGCCATGCTGGTCATAGAAGAAAAGGGCCAGGTCCCCAAAGGCTTCCTAGAGGGGGCAGCACAGGGACCAGGTCATGGGAGGCCTCGCATAGGGAAGGACCAAAACCACAGAGAGCAAATCAACCATCACGGTGGGGGGGGAGGGAGAAGGGGGAGGGCACACGCCTGGCAGCCCCCCGGACCCACCCTGAGCCGCGCCAGGTAGATCTGTGGGGGGTCGTAGCCCAGCACGGGCATCAGGGAGGGAGGTCCCGGCTTGCTGAGCAGCCCGCGGCAGAAGGAGGCGGCTGGGGGATCCACAGCTTGGCGGTGCCGTGGGACGTGGCGGGCGGACAGGCGGATGAGCACGTCATACATGTCCAGGGGGGGCCGGAAGACCGTCTAGGGGTTGGGGGAAAGACCATGAGCGCACAGCACCATCCCCCCGCCCCCGGCTGCTCCTCGGTCTCCCATCTCGGCCCCCCAAACCCAGACTTCGGGCTCGAGAGCCACTTGGGTCGGGAGCTCACCCTGATATCCCCAGGCCCCCGGGGGTCCATCAGCTGCTTCTCCAGGACGGACAGGGCTTCTGCCGCCAGGACCACCAGCTGTTGTAGGATCTGGGGGGGCGCGGACATGAGAGGTCAGACCTCTCCCAGGGTTTCTGCTTTGGTGGGGGACACACACAAACACACACACACAGTCGGGGAGGTGTGAACCTGGGCCGAGGGGCCATCCTGCGTCCACACAGAGCCTCTGCGGTCCTGGGGGGTGACGATGACCATGACAGGGAGCTGGGTGCGAGCTGCCAGGAAGTCGCTTCGGATCTCCACCTGCTCCTCCGCTGGGGGCGAGGGGGGTGTCCTGAGTCGGTCGGGCCCCGCGTCCCCCACCCTCACCCCGGGGATTTTCCAATGTCCTTCCCCGCCGAGCGACAGAGGTGACGAAAGGGACACCTCATTAGCCTCGGCTGGGTGCGGCGTTCGACACCCAGCCTGGGCCCAGGGACAGAATTTTCCACTGCCTGGCACCCCAGCTGGGTTTCCGGGCCTGCACAAGCCCCGACCTGCCCCTGGCCCCCTCCCCACGCCCACACACCTGGGGAATTAGGAAGGCGACACCTTCCTCGGGCCGGGCCCGGGAGGTCCTCATGTTACGGCCAGACATCCCGGCTCCAGTGCCCGAGTGTGCAGCTGCATCAGGGCCTGCCCTGCACCCTGTGCCTGCCTTCTCGCTGGGGCTCAGTGCCCCTGAGACTCTTCTTCCTCCTTCACAGCCCCACAGTGGGACCCCACGACCCCCATACCATTCCAGTCTCCATACTGCTCACTCGTCCAGGGACCCTTCCTCCTGCATATTCCCACCCGAGGCAACCCCCCTAGGAGGGCGTAGGGGAAGCCTGACCTCAGCCCCGCCAGCCCACTGCTTACCTTTGAGGTCGCCGTTGAGGTTGACCACGAGGGGGCTGTTCTTCCAGTCAAAGGTGGACACCAGGGAAAGGAAGCGCAGGAAGCCCACCTGCGGGGAGCTGAGTGGAAGGAGGCGGGGGGGGGGGGGGGGGACGTTTAGGACACAGCCACACACCCCTTCGAGGGGAGAGGGCCCACGTCCAGAACCCCTTCGGAGATTCACCCCACCGATGGGCCCCAATGGGTGAATCCTTCCTGGGTGAAGAGGCAGAGCGGGCCAGAGAGATGGCCCAATGGTCAGAGCATCTGCTGCACGTGCACGCGGCCCAGGTTCTACCACCAGGGCTGCCCCAGCGCAGTGCCAGGTGGGTCTCCAATGACCTCCTTTAAGAAAAACAAAAAAACCCACCGGTGGAGAGCATCACCTGGGAGGGGTGAAGGGCTCGGGGTGCAGGAACAGGGCGGCGACCACCAGGTCCAGACTCTCATCCGTGAACCCGTCCCCCAGGAGCTGGGCACGCACCCAGCGCTTGGCCAGCCGGGCCACCCCCGAGAAGGCGGGGTGCTGCTGCTGGAGCCTGTGGGGGCAGAGCGGGGGCTTCCATGAGCCTTGGGGGCCAGGGCCCAAGAAGGGAGCTCCAGTCCCCATGCACCACTGTCCCAACCCCGGCCAGGAGGGCCTCCCGAGCAGCCCCCTCCCACGGCAGGACGGGCCAGGAGGCCAGGCTAAGGGCAGGCGGGGCAGGGGGGAGGTTCTGGGCCAAAGGAACCCGGCAGGGCCAGAGTTTGAGGCCCGATCTGACTCCTAAAATCTTCAACACCCAGCCCCCCAACGACAGCCAGGGCGGGCATGGCCGCACCCATGCAAGGCGCTGGTGAGCAGAGGCAGGTGCCGCGTGGCCCTCTCCAGGCACAGGGAGGCCGGCGTATCCCGAAACGAGATCATGCCCTCAGGGCTGCGTGTCTCCCGCAGGATCTGGGGCTCCTTCTGGTAGGCCACACGGACCCGGAACACGAACCCATCCTGGGGGGAGCAGGGGAGGGATGCGTGAGCCCCCGGGTTGGGGGTCAGGTCAGCCCCTAGGTAGGGGGACGATCAGTCCCTGAGGGATGGGTCAGCCCCAGGGTGGGGGGACAGGCCAGCCCCCAAGGGATGCATCGGACCCGGGCACCTGACCCTGGGGGGGTGGGGGCGCGTGGGTCACCCACTGACCTTGAGGATGTCCGTGTGCTCCGCCGTGGGCCGGCACTGCAGCCCGTGTTGCTGCCGCAGCAGTTCCGCCAGGCGCAGCTGGAAGGCGGCGCGGACCCTCCGGATGGCCTCGGCCTCCTGGGGCCACTGGCCGCTGCCCTCCAGGTGACAGACCACTGAGAAGACGAGGGACACCGCTGGCGAGTCGTGGCCGGGCGTGGGGAGATCCCCGCTCAGGGCCCCCCGCCCGCTGCCGAGAGCCCTCACCGGTCATGGGCTCCACGTAGGCCGGACAGGGTTTGTCGGGCCGGGGCAGGAGGGAGGCGCGGTCCTGCAGGCGCTCATAGAAGGAGACGGCCGGGTGCACGGGGGCGGGAGGGAAGACCTGGGTGGGGGGACAAGGGCATGACCAGGGGGGTGGGAGGAGTGGGGGGACGGGGCTCCCGGGGCTGAAGCAACTCACCTCCGTGTAGCGCAGCACTGGGTGGGCGCCCTGCACAGCAGACACCGTCAGGGGCAGCTCCTTCAACCCCCACAGCAGGTGGCTGAGGTCATCGTAGCAGCGCACAGCGGCGGCCAGGGCCTCCTCGCCCGTGCTGTAGGTCTGGGAGGGAGGGCGGGGGGACAGAGGCCGCCAGGCCCCTGCTGGGCTCCACCAGCAGGACAGGCGCCCCCTCTGCTGGACACACGGGGAAGTGCAGCCTACCAGAGGTGCTCACGGCTCCCCGGACCCAGTCTATGATCCTGAGCCTGGACCCCCACCCTGAGCCCGACCTCTTACCTCTTTGGGGCTTTGGATTAGGCCATCCAGGAAACCTCCCACGTAGTGGACACAGGTCTCTGGGATGTCAGCGTGGCTGAAAGGAAGGAGGAGGAGAGTGTGGGCATCTGGAGCGCTGACCTGCAACGGCCCTGGGGGGGGGAGGGCACACAGTCCCCCATGGATCCCCCACCCCCTGCCGCCTCCTGACAGCCACAGGGCCCCCCCCCACTCACAGGGCCAGGAGGTGGGTGACCACCTGGTGGGGAATGAGGCGCTTCTGGGCCATGGAGGGGGCCTCCCACACCACTGCTTCCCGGATGGCTCCGTCCTGGAACCGCCGCAGCTCCGAGCGAGACCCCCAGAACTGGCGGAAGTCGGTGGCCTGCGGAGAGAGGCGAGAGCCCGACCCGGCGGGTCTCAGAAAGCTCCCCAGCAGGCCCCCATCCTGGGAGCCACAGGCGGAAGGCGGGGAGACGCCCCGATGCCCTCCCGTGTCCACGCTGCTGGGCTCCTCGTCCTCACCTCAGGCTGGTCGGCCTCCGGGCCCAGCTCCAGGACGCTGGTGAGGCCCTCGGGCTGGAGGAGCAGGCCCAGGCTCAGACTCCCCGAGTCTCGGTGTTTCGGTGGGTCCTGGCTGATGTCCCACTGCAGGGAGTGGAAAGGGCCAAGCTCAAGCCCGGAAGTGCCCGGCCCAAAAGGCCACTTTCTGGCGAGAGGAACGGTCCGTCTCGGTATCCCTGGGGAGCCGCCCCCCATCCCCCACTGAGCTCACCTCCAAGACAGGGGGTCGAGAGTGGGCCAGCAGGCGCAGCCGAGCCCCCAGGCCCTGCTCCAGGAGGGTGGAGAGAGGCCCCAGGGCGGCTGACACGTAGTCCCCACCGTGGTCCTGCAGCTCGGGCCACAGCTTCAGCCGGTGACACGCTGCCTGCAGCCGACTCAGAGGACGGAGGCTGGGGGGGAGGGGAAAGGAGGGGCGAAAGTCAGGTACCACGGGTCCCCATCTGAGAACCTGCCAGCCCCGGGCAACCGGTGCCAACACGTAGTCACCCGATGCTTACTGCAGGACGTGGTCAAAAGCCCGGACCATAGGCTTGGGAGTCATCAGCAGCATCTGGAAGCTGTCGTCAGCTTTGCTGTCCAGCAGCGCCATGGACAACTGGGCCTCGTGCTGCACCTGGGGCGGTCGGGCAAGAAGGGGGCTCAGTGACTGCCACCACCGTCCCCTCATGGACCGAGGGGCTTAGACCTGGGAGCAAGCCCGCCCTGAGCTCCCTGGAGAGGAGAGCCCGGGATGTCCGGTACCTGGCGGTAAGTGGCAGCGGTGACGTCGGCGCAGAGGTTGAGCCGGCCGGAGGGGTCCAGGAAGACCACGGGGAAGGCCTGCTGGAAGTCAGCCAGGGCCGGCTTGGCGGGACAGAGAGAGAGCGGGAGGGTTTACGCAGGGCCTCTTGAGACCCCAGGGCTCCCTGCCCGGCCCCAGCCCGGCACCACTCACCAGGGAGGGATCCGGGCGGAGACACAGACTGAGGCCGCTGACCGTGAGATCCGTGGTGCCTGAGACGCGAGAGAGGCCGGATGCATGTCAGACCGCGTCCCCTGCCCCAGGCAAGGAGCCCCTACCACCCTATCCCACCAGCCCGGCTCCAGGCTTTGGGGGGCTGGGAGGGGTGGGGGGCCAGAAACTGAACACTCTCAAACTGGCTGCTGCACTGGGATTCGCGGGAAGGGCAACAGAAGCCTGGGGGCGGGCGGGGGCCCCTCCCGAGTTCTGAGCCCCAGCCGCCTCACCCAGGAACTGCAGGACGCTTCTCAGAACCTGGTAGCCGCTCATGGTGGCATGGATCTTGCGTGTGGACACCAGGAAAGCGACCAGCATGGAGATGAGGAAGCCGCTGAAGCTGCCCAGGCCCTGGCAGGGGGCAGGCAGGGGCAGGTGGTCAGGACTCAGAGCACCCCCCACCCGCGGGCCACATGCAGCTGGCCAGACACCCCCACCCCGACCCGCTCGCTCACCCGGTCCAGGTCTCGCTGCCGCAACCAGACCTTCAGGAGGGCCACCCCGTCCCGCAGGCCCGGGGCCGAGCCCAGCACGGCTGACAACAGTTGCACGTGGGCCTCGAGGCTGATGTCCTGCAGGATCCACGAGTTATAGTGGGGTGTGGGGGGCTCGGGGCCACCTGGCAGAGAGTGCGAAAGTCACAGGGGAAGTCCACCAGCCCCACCCAGGCCCGCCCCGCCTCCCCCTCCCCTGCCTCCCCTCCCGGCAGGCTGCGCTTACCATCCCCAGGACTCTGCCCGCGGTACCAGGCGGAGCGCACATTGTTCTTGGAAGGCAGCAGGCGGCATGGGCGGAAGAAGTCGGGAGGCGGGCAGGGGTGCAGTCGGACAGTGACCAGGCGCTCCTCCTTCCCTGGGGGGCGGGGAGGCGGAACTGAGCCCCTTGCGGCCGCAGGGGGTCCCGGCACTATCCCCACATCTGTTTGTGTCACACCCGGGGACCATACACTGTCACAGGGGACCCACCCGGGGCCGGCCACAGGTTCAGGCCAGCGCCTTACTCCGGTCCAACGCCCCTCTCTCCTGCCAGCTCTGAGATCCCTCTATCTCCCTCCTCTCTCGGGTCTGAAGCCCCAGGACCCGCTCCTAACAGGCTGTGCCCCCAAACTGCTCCCACGTGGATGCCCGGGGATGCCCCCCACCACTCGGCCGGAGCAGCAGTGAGGGTTTCAGGTGGCAGCCACTGGGGTAGGCAAAGCGAACGGAGCCGAAGAGGGGGTCCCGGGCCAGGTGGTGAGCCAGATGGGCGAGGTAGAGGGCGCGCTTGCGGAAGTAGCGCTGGTTCAGCCCGTCCTTGTCCTGCAGGATCTCCTGGATGAAACAGGTGACAGGTATATCAGGGGGCCGCGTTGGGGGGGGGCAAAATGAAGACAGGAGAGAGCCTGCAGCTGAACCACCTTGGGCACGTTCTGTGGGTCAGGACGCCTGACCCAAGTCAGAACTGCTCCCCAGGGGCCTGACCAAACCCCCCCCCAAAAAACGCTTGAAAACAGAATCACTTCCCAGCTCCCACAGCGTCAGAGGAGCAGTGTCTGGTGCACAGGTGTGTCTCAGCTGCCCTGTGACTACTGCAGTGCTCTTTTGATCTAGAATTCAGTTTCGATTCCAGGTTTGATCCCCGATGTGTCCCCACCCCACACCCCCCCCAGCCCAATGGCCCCCTGGGCCTGTCAGGAATCCCTGAGCACAGAGTCAGAACTAAATCCTTGAACGCCACTGAGTGTTCCCCTACCACCCCCCCCCCCATAAAAAAATATAATTCAATGTTGTTTTCTTTGGTTTGGGGGCCATACCTAGTGACACTCAGCACCCACTCCCGTCTCTGCACCCAGTAATCACTCCTGGCAGGGTCTGAGGGACCACAGGTGGTGCCGGAGACGGAACCCGGGTGAGCAGCGTGCAAGGCAAACACCTCACCCACTGTACTCTCTCTCCAGCCCTAGATTTCAGCAGCACAGGGGTTCTCAAAGTGGGCGATACTGCCCCGGGGATTCTGGAACAATCCAAACAATGGGGGGGGGGGTGGCTGGAGCAGCCCTGAATGTAACAGGTAGGGGCAGGGTGAGCTTACTATCTTTTTCACTGAAAGATTTCCAGCACGTGCTGGAGCAATAACACAGCAGGTAGGGCATTTGCCTTGCACGTGGTCGACCCAGGTTTGATTCCCAGAATCCCATTTGGTCCTCCAAGCACCGCCAGGAGAAATTCCTGACTACAGAGCAAAGAGTAACCCCTGTGCATCGTCAGGCGTGACCCAAAAACAAAAACAAAAACAAAACAACAAAAAAAAATCCCAGCAGCGGGAGAAGGGCAAAGCAATAGTCTAACAGAAGGGCATTTGCCTTTCATGTGGCCAACCTGGATTCCAATCCCAGCATCCCATATGGGTCCTCTAAGCCCTGCCAGGAGTGAGCCCTGAACACAGAGCCAGGTGTGCCACTCCCCTCTTCTTCCAGGAAAAAAAAAAAAAGCTGGGGAGGGCAGTGGATGATTTTTCTTTCTTTCTTTTTTTTTTTCCTGAAAAGCGGCAATACACCATCTAAGTTCGAGGAATCCCTGCTCTAGCGAGTGGTGTGTAGTGACATCAAGGGGACCTTGGGTAGGTATAGCTGGAAGTGCCAGGAAACCCTTTGCCCACCCCATCCCAGACCCTGGCCTCACCTTGGGCATGGTCAGTGCCACGTCCACATTGATATCAGGCCGGATGCAGGTGCCCAGGAGGTAGCTGCCAACAACCGTGACCTGGGCGGGGGGCAGGAAGCGGAAACAGCCTTTCACAGCATACGGCACTTGGTGGAGGGGAACTCGAACTCCAGCCGGGAGCCAGTCCTGGTCAGTCAGCTGTCGGAACAGAGAAAGGGACGTACAGTGATTCGTCAGCCTTCCTAGCACGGCCCCTCTTACCTTCTAGACAGCTCCAACTCAACAGCTGGTGCGGAGTAAGCCAAGCCCCCCACTTTCCCACCAGCCACATCGAGGGGATTCCGTACTAACTGCTCAAGTCAGAAACATTTAAACCACCCTAACTCATCTGTGCTCAGAATACCCATTTTGGGATGGGAGAGATAGTACAGTGGGGAGGGTGCTTGCCTTCATACAGCGACCCAGGTTTAATCCCCAGCATCCCATATGGTCCTTCTGCCAGGAGTGATCCCTAGGTGCAACACTAGGAGTAAGCCCTAAATGTTGGGCTCACCCCCCCCCAGAAAAATATCATTTTAAAGGCCAGAGAAATGAGATAATACAGTAAGTAAGGCACTTGCCTTGCACGCAACTGACCCAAGTTCAATCTCCAGCACCCCATATGGTGCCCAGTGTTTCCAGGAGTGATCCTTGAGTGCAGAACCAGGTGTAAGCCCTGAGCACCACTCAGCATGGCCCAAAATGTCAGCCAAAAAGAGAGAGAGGGGGGCTAGAGTGATAGCACAGTGGGTAGGGTGTTTGCCTTGCACACAGCCGACCCAAGTTTGATTCCCAACATCCCATATGATCCCCCGAGCACCGTCAGGAGTTATTCCTGAGTGCAGAGCCAAGAGTAACCCCTGAGCATCACTGGGTGTGATGCAAGAGAGAGAGAGAGAGAGAGGCATATGCTGCCTGAGCCCATGTGATACTTGTGTCGGGCCGCATGGCCGAGCACATGTGGTGCCTGAGCACATGTGTTGCCCGCATCTCCTCTCTTGAATGTGTACTCTCATGCTTTCATAGCTAATACTGGAATGTGTGTAGGGGTTCTCTCCGCCATTGGAAAAGCCCGGGTTCTCTCGAGCACATTATTCTCCACTCTCTCCCACTTTCTCCTCCTCCTTCTCTTCAAAACTTCCAAATAAAATCTATTTTACTGGGGCTGGAGCGATATAGCACAGCGGGTAGGGCGTTTGCCTTGCACGCAGCCAACATGACCAACACAGGTTCGATTCCCAGCATCCCATATGGTCCCCCGAGCACCGCCAGGAGTGATTCCTGAGCCAGGAGTAACCCCTGAGCATCGCCGGGTGTGACCCAAAAAGAAAAAAAAAATCTATTTTACAGAGAGAGAGAGAGAGAGAGAGAGGAGAAAATACATATTTTAGGGGTCAGCAAGTTGATATAGCAGGTGTGGTGCTTGCCTTGCAAGTAGCTAACCCAGGTTTGATCCCAAGCATGCCAGATGGTCCCCTACCTAAACACCGCCAAGAATGATCTCTGAATACAATCTGGTACAGCTCAAAAACAAACAAACAAGAAGTATACCCATTTCAGGCTGGAGAGACAGTGCAGGAGGTAAGAAAAGCACCCGCATGCAGCCAACCTGGATTTGATCAGGGACTACATACGGACCCATAAGCCCTGCCAGGAGAATCCTTGAGCACAGAGCCAGTAATAAGCCTTCAACACTGACTGCCCTCCCACCTTCAAAAACCAAACCAAAACAAACAAACAAAAAAAAAATCTACTTTGGGGATTGAGACCCAGATTTTGTTCTCTTTTTGCTTTTTGGACAGGGGTCACTCTTGGGAGGACTCAGAGGATCATATATGGTGCTGGGGATTGAACTCCAGGTCAACCTCATGCAAGGTATGTGCCCTACCCATTGTACTATCTCTCTAACCCAAAGCTCAGGTCTGATCCCAGGCACATGACCTCCCAAACACACCCCAGAGTGGCCCCGAAATTAAAAATGAAATCTACCAGGGCTGGAGAGATAGCACAGCGGGTAGGGTGCCTTGCACATGGCCAACCCGGGTTCGATTCCCAGCACTATATGGTCCCCTGAGCACCGCCAGGAGTAATTCCTGAGTGCAGAGCCAGGAGTAACCCCTGTGCATTCGCCAGGTGTGACTCAAAAAGAGGGAAAAAAAAAAGAAAGAAAGAAATCTACCTCAGGCCAAGGAGATAATTCAAAGGGTTAGGGCAAAAAATGTTTTGCAAGTGGAAGCCCTGGTTTTGACCCCCAATACCACCTGCTCCTTTGAGCATCACCAACCAAGAGCAACCTCCCAGCACTGAGTGGGGAGTTGTCTCTGGGTTCTGCTGGGAGTGGCCCAAAACAAACACATAAAAGAAAAAGAAAAATCACTCCCATCCTTCAATATCCCCTCCATCAAATCCTTTGCTTCATCCTACTTCTTCCTTTTTCTGTGGTGCTAGACACCTAATAGCATATTTATTTTGTTTTGGGGTCCACATCCAGTAATGCTCAGGAGTTACTCCTGGCTCTGTGCTGAAGAATCACTCATTTCTTGGCAGTACTTGACCATATGGGATGCCAGGGATCAAACCTGGGTCAGTCGCGTGCAATACTAGCTATACTATCACCCGTGTCCCACCACCTAATAACATTGGCAAACAATCTACCTGTTAAATTTCTTATCTAGTGCCCATCATCCCAACACTAGAAGACAGACTCTTTTGTTTTGATGTAGCCTAAGGACACAACTACAAAGCACATTAACGTTCACTGAATGAATAAAAACATGACTAGACCATTTCCAACAGTGAAACTGAGCTCCCAAGCACCTGAACTCTTCAAAGAGTCTCTGTTTCAGATGCCCCTCACCGCGGCGCTTTGCTGGGCTTTCCAATTTTTTAGGCCACCTAATTACCTCAGTCTCAGAGGTCGAGGGCACTCTCATGACCCGCTGTTTGATCTCCTGGAGGAAAGCATCAATTCGAGCTTTCTTCTTGTCTGACAGTTTCACTTCCTTTAGCAGTTCCTCCACCTGTAAGCATGGGAAGGACTGTTTCAGCCTCCAGGTCCCGGACCCACGCCTCTAAGCCAACCCCCCTTGTGCCCCAAGAGTACCTGTAAGCGAAGCAAGCTGGAGTGGAACAGGTTCTCAGTCTCCCGAAGGTGATTCAGCTCCTCGTTGGTGGGCTCCTTGTACAGCTCTTCACGGCTGAGCTTCACCGGTTGCAAGAGACCCTCTGCTGGGCACTCAGTCGCCACACGCTTCTTTGAGGTGCCCTTCAGCCCTTCTTTGCCTGTGCCTTCTGAAACTGGCTCCATCACCTGCCACCAGTCAGAGGGTGAAGCATGTATGCTCACAGGTGTCTAGTATTCAATGTTAAAAGAGCCACCATGACAGGATGTAGTTATATAAAAGCTTCACTCCTGGGCCAATAGCTCCACAGCTCCATACCGCTTTGCATGCAGGAGTTCCAAAATTTCATCCCCTCCACCCCCTACCCCAGCTCCTGAGCACAGAGCTGGGAGTAACTCCTAAGCACTGCTATGTATGGGCCAAGAATTGGAGGCGAGGGGGGAGCAAAGAAAAAAAAATTTCTATGGGATCACAAGCCTCCCCGACAGCCTGGGTCCTGGCCCTCTCCAGGGCTCCGGACCTGACCCAGGAGAGCCTCGGTTGGAGGTGCTGAAGCGCCATCATGTGTCCACCGTTATAGAGAGGAGCACAGAAAGGGGCACAAGAGGAAAAGTGCCCAGGTAAGAATGACCTGGAAGACCCTAGCCACGGGAGTGCCTTTTAAGGTGCAGGGCTGACAAAAGCAGCTCACTAGGCTTGATCGCTGATGTCCATCCAAATGGTAAACCAGATTCCACACTCCATAGCAAGCCCTGTCTCTGCGTCCTAGGCAGGTAGGATCGGGAGACCCCGCGAGCTGTCAGCCTCGCCCCCCCCCGACCCCCGGCCACATTTCGTGCCCTCCTTCTTCCCCGCGGGCTCGCCCACCTCCAGCTCCCCTGAAGCTCCACGATGCTGCTCCCCCGCAGGCGCCGGGCCCATTCCTCCTCCGGGTCCCGGTCTAGCGCTCGATTTTAGGATTTCAAATCCAAGTGCTGACACGACTTCTTCCCACGTCGGCAGGTCAGCCGGAACGCCCTCCGCAAAGTCCCCCCAACGAAACTCCGCAAGCACTAGCAGCCCCCAAAGATTTCTCTCCAAGTCCCAAGGCAGAAGCGCAGGAAAGCCGCGTGCAGTGAGTCTCCGCCCAGCTCCCATGCCATTGGGTAAGTGCCAAATAACTCCCCTCCCGATTGGTCGCTGTCACTTTCCGGGCCCGCCCCCTTAAGAAGGCGGGGCCAAAAGGGGAATTCTCCCTTTTACGACCTCTTTGCGACGCAAGACCGGAAACCTGACGGATAGCTTAGCGGTCACTTCCGCTTCGTCACTTCCTCCGCTTGGGTTGACGAGGAAGGGTGGCGCTTGGTGTGTAAACCCTGGACAGGGTTTATTTACTTGGGTAGATTCTTTTCCTCTTTTTCCCTGCAGTATCAATGAACTTGACTTGTCAGTTCTCCCGAAATTCGTTCGTCATCTCTTGTGTGCGCTGTCAAGATTAGTCCGAGTACATCATCTGTCGAGATTATTTATAACTTCGCCAGTGCAAGGCAAGCGCCCTAGCTAGTGTACTATTTCTCTGGCCCCAACCTTTTCTGGGCCTCCTTAGTAGTGTTCAGGGCATGATGCTTCCTGTGGTTCTCAGCCAGTCTGGCCAATGGTTCAATGACAGGGGCCAAAGGTGAAGTAATTCAAGGACTGCGCCAGCGGTCATGTAGCCATCCCAGGTGATTAACAGGCGACTCCAGAGCTGCATCTAGTGATGCACAGAGTTTGCCACGTGTAATTAAACTGACCATCTGGTATATTAGACCTGTAGAACTAACTTGATAGCTGAAAATGTGTACTCTTTCACCAGCATGTCATTTCCCCCGCAAGCAAACATTCTAGTCTATTTCTGTGATTTTGACTTTCTAGAGTGTACATTTAATTGAAATCATACAGTACTGGCATATGCCGTTCTGACATTTTAAATTTGTTTTTGTTTGGGGGTCATATCCAGAGATGCACAGGGTTTACTCCTGGCTCTGTTCAGGGATCCTAGTAAGACTTTAGGGACCATATGCCGTGCTGAGAATTGAACCTGGATCAGTTTCATGAAAGGCAAACGGTCTACTTGTTGCATTACCTCTCTGGACTTGTCTGATTTGTTTTATTTAGGAAAATGCCCACAATGTTCATCCATATTACAAATGGCAGCTTTTTCTTCTGACTGAAAAAAAAGTCTTATTGTTAGTGATGGTTTCCTGGAGGTTTTGGAGCTGTACCCAGGTAAGCTCAGTGGCTACTCCTGGCTCATTTGGAGGGTCTCTCACAGTGGTATTTAGGGGACCATGAGGCTCAAGAGATTAAACCCAGGGACTGAAACAGTAGTAGAGCGGGTAGGGTGTTTGCCTTGCACACAGCTGTCCTGGGTTCGATCCCTAGCATCCCATATGGTCCCATAAGCACTGCCAGGAGTAACCCCTAAGCATCACCTGATGTGACTCAAAAAGCGAAAGAGAGAGTGAGGAGAGATTAAGCTTGGACCTCTTCTGTGAAAAGCATGTGCTCCAGCCCTTTGAGTTATCTCCCCAGCATATAATTAGTTATGCTTTGTTGGGGGCAAGGACCTGGGGTGGGCAAAACCTGCTATTCTAAGAAGGGCTTACTTCTGCACTCAATAGATTACTCCTGGTGGGATTTCAGTGACCACATCTGGTGCTGGGGATTGAATCCAGGTCAGCTGTGTGCAAGGCAAACATCTTCCCACTGTGATGTCTCTTATGCCCCTTGTTATGCTTGTAAAAATATTTGTTTTGAACTTAGTCCTATGCTAAATTTCTCCCCAATGGGGGAATTTCCTTCCTTTTCCCTCTTCTTTTTGTTTTATTATATTTTGTCTCTTTGGGTCACACCCAGCAGTGCTCAGGAATTACTCCTGACAGTGCTCGGGGGGCCAGATAGGATCCCAGGGATCTAACCTAGGTCAGTTGCATGGAAGCAAATGCCCTCCCCACTGTACTAGCACTCCAGTCTCCCCTCTTACTTTCTAATAAAACTTTATATTAAAAAAGTATTTGTGGTGCCAGGAATTGAGCCCACGTCTCATGCATGTAAAGCAAGTGCTTTACTGCTTAACCCCAACCCCCAAGTTTTCAGATTTTTTCCCTTTCTTCCTTTTTCTTGGTGGAGTGTGGGGGAATTCACAGCTAGCTTTGTTTAGGGTTTACTTTTGACTCAGAACTTACTCAGAGAACAGTGCTCAGAGATTACTCTTGGTGGTGCTCTGTGGACCATGTGTGGTCCCGAGGATCAAATCTTGGTTGACCACGTGCAAAGCAAGCACCTTACCCACTGTACTATCTCTTCAGCCCCTAAGTTTTTTTGGGGGGTGGGGTTTGGCTTTTTGAGGTCACACTCGGCCACACTTAAGGGTTACTTTTGGATCTGCCCTCAGGAATTGCTCCTGGTGGTGCTCAGGGGACACTATGGAATGCCAGGGATCAAACCTGGTTTGGCCATGTGCAAGGCAAATACCCTTCCTGCTGTACTATCGCTCCAACTCAAGGAGCTCCTAAGTTTTAAAGCATGATTTGAGTTTGATGTGACCAAGAGGAAGTGTGCTGAAGTATTCCATATTGGACGACATTTATTCCACACTGGATGACACTTCAGTCAACTTAAGTCCCCTGCTCAGTACCAAGGACAGAGAAATAAATGATATGATAATCACAAACCAGGAACCTGGAAATATGCTCCTACCTTCAAGTCTCACAAATTGATCTTTTTTATTAATTTTAGCATAACCTCACAGAGTTTTCTTTGGCACCATTTTTATTTTTCAGTATTTGAGCTACACCCAAATGTGCTCAGGGCTTACTCCTGGCTCTGTACTCACAGGTCACTTCAGGTGGTGCTTGGGGCCCCATATGTGGTTCTGGGATCAAACCTGAACTGCCAGCACAGAAGGCAAGATCATCACTATGTGTACTATCTCTCCAGTCCCATTATCTTCAATTTAAGTACATCTACCGTATTTTCAATCTTAAACTTCCCCTTTAAAAATTCATTTATTTTATATATGTTTTTGGGAGGCCCACCCAGCAATATTCAGAGGCTATTCCCATCATTGTGTTCAGGAGATCATTTGGAGCTGGGACTCAAATCCAGGTCTCATGCATGCAAAGCATATACTCCAGGCCCTTAAGCCATCTCCCCCATGTCTCTCTCTTTTCATCACCTTTATTTACGTTCATCAAAATTTACAATGTATTTTGCCTACTAATTATGGGTTTTGTGTTTGTTTTGGCCTATAGGATGTAAACTCCACATGGACAATAGCCAATTCTTTTTTGTTTTTGTTTTGGGGCCACATACAGCAATGCTCAGGGGTTACTCCTGGTTCTTCCCTCAGGAATTACTTCTGGTAGTGCTCTGGGGATGCCAGGGATTGAATTCAGGTTGGCCATATGCAAGGGAAGCGCCTTACCTACTGTGCTCTCTCTTCAGGTCATGGACCCAGTTATTTCAGTATTTATTACTTATTCACTCCTGTATCCCTGGCATTAGCACAAATCCTGTCACTTATCAAACTTCCAGTAAATATTCAATGAATGAAAGAATGCATGAATGTTCTTTTTCAAGAGCTTCTTAGAGTTTGACGGAAAAATGTCAATAAATACTTTAACTGTAGCCTTGGGGGTGATACAGTATGCACAAACTGTGGCGGGTACTTCAAACTAAGGATACATCACAGAATAGTGGTTAAGTGCAGTCACTCTAAAGAGAGAGGCAGGGCTCAAGGGGCAGGTGCACGTGCTTTGCATACCAAAGACTCTGAGTTTGATCCCTGGCACTGTTTCGTCCCCTGAGCGCCTCTGGGGACTACCTGAGCACCACCAAACAAAACAGAACAAAGAGCAATCACACTACAGAAGGGTGGCCAAGGTTCAACTCCAGACTCTATTTACTAAGTGCATGATCTTGGGTAAGATTTTTTTGGGGGGTGGGAGGTGGGGAGAGGCACACCTGGCAGTGCTCAAGCGTTACTCCTGGCACAGAACTCAGGTATCACTCCTGGAATGCTCAGGGACCATATGAGATGCTGAAGATCAAACCTGGGATGGCTGGGGGCAAGGCAAGATCCCTACTCTCTCCAACCCTGATATTGGGTACTTTTCCTTTTCTTTTTGTTTTTTGGGCCACACCAGTGGTGCTCAGGGCTTACTCTTGGCTAGGCACTCACCCAAGTCATCTGCATGCAAGAAAAGTTCCCTACCTGCCATACTATCTTTCCAGCCTCCTTGGGTAGTTTACTTGAATTCTCATTAGATTCAGTAAAATCGGTACCCTTTACCTTTAATAATGACCATGTTATGGATTTTTGTGAGAACTAAGTGGAAGCCTCTCACATACTGATACACATTGAATGGTAGCTATTATTTTGGGTTTTTTCTTTCTTTTTTTTTCTTTTTGGGTTACACCCAGCAATACACAGGAGTTACTCCTGGCTCTGCACTCAGGAATTACTCCTGGAAGTGCTCAGGGGACCATATGGGATGCTGGGAATCAAACCCGGGTTGGCCGTGTGTAAGGCCCTATCCGCTCTGCTATCACTCCAGCCCCATTGGGTTTTTTCTTTTGAGGGGGACCACATCTGGCCTAGTGGTGCTTTGGGATTGCACCCTGGCAGTGCTTGTGATCAAAACCAGCACTTTTGTGTTCAACTTTTTGAACTATTTCACTGGTTCCCAAGACTGTAGTTTTTTATTCTGGTAGTGCTTGGGGGACCATATGGGGTGTCAGGGATTGAAGATTGTGGTTTCTTAAAGAGACTTACAGGTATTATCATATGCAAAATTGAAAAAGTTTGATCCCTTAAAAAGACTAATACTGGGACCAGATAGTACAGCAGGTAAGGCACTTGCCTTGCATACAGTTGATCCCTATACAGTCCCCTGAGAACCTCTAGGAGCCAGGAATAAGTTCTGAGAACCATAGTGTTTGGCTCCACAACAAAATCAGAAATAACTGAGCTCACCATGAAGGGGGCACTGGGGGGAAGGTGGGCTGAAGGGGAGGCACTGGTGAAGGTTCAAACATACGCATG